GAGAGAGAGAGAGAGAGAGAGAGAGAGAGAGAGAGAGAGAGAGAGAGAGAGAGAGAGAGAGAGAGAGAGAGAGAGAGAGAGAGGGTTACACTCCAAGCTAACCACTCTGGTCGCAAATTATAGCAATACAGTGTAGGTATGTGTAAAGTGAGTAGTGAGTTCATGTGATTATTATCAAAATGTCTCAACTTGAAATTGCTTCAGGAAGAGAAGGGTTCAACTTCTGCTTGATGTACAACTTCCGCTTGATGTTGAACATAGTGAGGGTGAGGAACACCTTGCATGATGTGCCAGGGTACAGTGCAGGGAGTGGTGGAGTGATTGGAGTGGATTGTTAGATTAATTGTAAGAGGTTGGGCAAGTGGACGGTGCTTAGAGAGGGAAAGCGAGACAATAATTTATTCTTGAATGTGAGCGAGTTGCTGATGCAGGTCAGTATGCTCATCACTGACTTGTTGTAAAAGTTCCTGAAATGTGCACGATGAGTTATGCAAAGTGTAACCCCCCTTTGCAAGTCCTGAGGGCTTGACAAAGCAAGGTCCTGTGCAAATGGGTGATGTGAGTGTAACCCCCTTTGCAAACTCACTGGAGACAATGGTTAATAGAATCGGTTCTTGTAGTTCACATACTTGCTTTTGAGTTGGCTTCATTTTGTCATTTCAATTTCTTGCATGGCTGTCTTTCTTTACATTTGCCACCTTTGCAAATCTTGATGTGGTGTATAGGCTAGGGCTGAACTTCTTGTTGAGTTTTTCCTGAAAGATGGCTATCTTGCTAGCCCTCCCCTTTGGGAGGTCCACGCATGTTTGACGATGGGGTGGTGTGGTATAAGGAGTTGCTCATATACCATCAGGATCTCGCTCTGTCCAAGCGCCAGGACTTGTAATCCCCCTTTGCAAGTCCTCAGGCTTGGACACTGTGAGATCTTGATGGCATACGAACAATGCCTTATACCACACCACCCCATTGTCACACATGGGTGGACTTCCCAAAGGGGAGGGCTAGCAAGATAGTCGCTTTTCAAGAAAAACTCGACAAGAAGTTCAGTCCTAGCTTATACACCACATCAAGATTTGCAAAAGTGGCAAATGTAAAGAAAGACAGCTATGCAAGAAACTGAAGCGAACTCAAAAGCAAGTATGTGATGGCCCGACCAAACACAAGCTGAGACACACAACTGATTTCTGAGTTTTGCTCACGGATTGAATGCCTTGCTGAGTTTCTCGCTTGCCACCAAGTTCTGCATGTCTGTGTGTGTGTGCATGCTTGCTGGTCTGCATTTTTGTCTGAGTGCTGGTTGGCTTGAGTGTGTGTGTGACCCGCAAGGGTACTTGTTCGTTCGTTGGGCCCTCAGGGCCGATACTTACCTGTGGCCATGACATTGATGGATTGCATCGGGGGAAAACACTCCTTACAAGTAGCAGGTAGACCGGTATCGCACCCTGAAGAGGTAGATGTGCAGGTACTAGAGGCCGTGCAGAAGAAAAAAGTGGCGTTTTGAGAGGCCCAATAGTTGTAGGCTAGGTCTAGGCGGGTACCAGTCCAACCAGTCTGAGTCTAGGGCCTGTACGGGCAATATCAGAGTCTGCAATGATGATTCGCTCCGAAAGGGAGGAGGTACCGGTTGCTGGGAAGGCCGAGCGGCCTGGAAGTCACCGCCCAAGAGGCAAGCAGGCCGCTATATCTCCAGGCCGGGCGAAGAGCCCAGCCTCATTGTCGGTGTGCAAGTTCGGCGACACACTAGTTGGAGCGTTGGCTGGAGCAGCGCTAGCTGAGAGCAACGCTGTTGGGGAAGGAGCAAGGACTCAAAGGAGGAAGAAGAGCAAGAGGAAGGGGGAGCGCCAAAGGTACTTCCCTGGCTATGGTGGGGGCCATCTTCATCACCTTGGTGGGCGCTGCAGCAGAAGGACCCCAACGGGGGTAGAGCCACACCAAGAAGCTTCGAGGCAGAGTCAGGCATGGCGGCCTGAGCTAGAGCAGCCATAGCTGCTTTGGGTTGTCCTTTGGACATCAGGGCAAGGCCCAGTAGTCCGCCATAGCCTCGGCCTAGGAGAGTGAAGAGTGAGGGAGACGACCATGGCTATGGTGGACCTCAAGTGATACCTACAGTAGAAGAGGAACTCGAACATGATTTTGGATCAGCCATTCAACATTGTACTGTTATTTCTTGTATGAATAAGAGAGGAGTAAAGGAGGAGGAGAGTGTTGGGCGAAGAAGAAGAGGTTGTTCATTTGTTTATGCTGGTGTACATCATCTTCTTCTTCTTTCTTTTCTCTTCTTCTTCTTCTTACCCTCTCTCTCCTCTCAAGTTCGTTCATTTCTTTCTGCAATTGGATGACATTATACTATCTGATGAATGTGTATCTCGAAATTAGCCGGTATCATAACATTGGTATTAGAGCGGATTCTACTTGCTGGTGAGAGTTGACTTATCCACCCTAACCCTAACCTAAGTGGTAAGGGCTAACCATTTAGGGTTAGGGTTGGTCCGAAGTGGGAAGTGGGCCAGCGTGGCTTAGGGAAGCTGGCCCCACCTGGTTAGGTCATGCTGGGTCGGCATTGAACCTGACGAGGTTGATTGTGAGTATGTAAGTGGTGGCGAGACACATCAAGAGGACTTCATGCGACAAGTTGAGAGAGGCGACAGTGAGAGGCACTCGCACGTGGAATCTAACCTAAGGGAGACACTTGGGGACTTGAGGGAAGTAGCTATTCTGCATTTACAGACTGCTGGTTACTACTTTGTTTTTCAGCATCGGCCAGGGACTCGGCGTTGCACATTGGTGTTGGCAGTGAGACCCTCCTACATGATAGGACAATAGTGTACAGGTAGCGAATAGGGTTAGGAAGACCACATCAGGAAGGGGGGTGAGTTATACTTCATCTCAAAGTCCGGGCCACTCAGGTAAGTGCCGTTCACCCAAGGGTTGCCCATGTATGCGTGCATGGTATTGTTTGTGTTGTTGGGGTACTTTTGGGTCTCTTTCCTACTCCTCTGAAGTCTTGGTTTTGTGCATTGGTGTGCTTGCTACTTACTAACCTTCTGGATGTAGAAATGAGGTATCTTGCTTAGGAAGTCATATCTTTCGACAATGCTTTATCTTTTCAAATGTGATTGGATGTAGTCTGTAGGTTCTGCCTTGAAGTTGAAATTCGTTTTTCAGTACGGTAGAGGCAGAAAGTAGGACTTGAGGTACTCTTCTTGGTTGGGACTTGGTCGCGACCTACTTGGGACCCATTGGGACCCATTGGGACCAGATCCAAACAAGAAGGGCCCCTTGGACCCAAATCTGTTGACGCAGTGTCGCTCTCTGTTTTGTCTGTGATACAGTATTTTTCTTCTTTGATTAGAGCCCTCGCTGCCGAGGGGATCTCGACTGAGATGCTTTGTCAGACTGATGTCACACAATCGAACGCTTGACCTGCACCTTATACACCACTCAATTCTCCATTGCTGTATGATGTTACTTATAGTCTGGTTTGTTGTACTTTGACTGTGCCAATTGGATTAGGCTCAAGGGGATCTTGTACTTGACTTGGATGCGGAACCGAAACTCTATTTTGAACATATTGTATTCTTTGATTTGTTTTCGTTGGTTGCTCTCTAAGTCCAAAGATTTGTGGCTCCGGCTAGGAGTTCTATCTTCTTCTTTTTACTTTCGGTATGTTTCTTTTGCTGAAGTCCACTACATTCCCGTTGAGACGCGCGGACAAGAGAAAAGGGCAAGAGAAGCCATGGCAATTGAAGGAACTAGTGGTTCCAACATGGCACATGCCAAACTTTCGGATATGTTAAAGGCCCGCATGGATGCTGCGAATGAGAATGATGAACCGCAGTATGAGGCCCTCTATCAGAAAGAGTTGGCTGAGGAGGAGAAGGCGGAAGAGGAAAAGCGGAAAACAGCCACTGATGAACTTGAGGCCATTTTTCAAACGGTTTCGAATGTATTTGATGCAGACCTTAAGAAAGATCTGGTTGTGTATGTACATGCTCTTGTTGATTACCACTTGCTCAGCGAACTTCCAAGTGTGAAGTCCTAGTTACTTGAGGAAATGAGTAAGATGCGTACTCAAATAGCAGACATGGCCAAAGAGCACCGCGATCAGATCCAGCAAATGGCAGCCATGCATCAGACCCCACTCTCAAGTTCTCTTCCTCGTTCTACCTTTGCACCCCTCCATTCCTCTCCTTCTTCTCAATCTTCTTTGACGAGTCTGGTGATTTAGCCAGGACTTGCGACATGTGCAGTTCCCACTGTCGTTACAAGCGGCAGCGCAATAAGTTCTGCATCTGCCGCAGCAATGGGATCGGATTCAGCAGCAATAGTTGGACCCAGCTATGGCAGTCCATACATGGACAGGAAGGTGGTGATGATACCGTCTAAGTATGACGACAAGGAGGACGTTGAGTCCTGGATGAGGTCCATGAGAGCGTACTTTGAAGTACAAGGCACTCAAAGAGTAAGCCAGTCCTTGATCCTGGGGACCAACGTCGAGCCTGTCGTAAGGGGCTTCCTTGAAGTCCAAGCCATGCAAGCTGGGTACGCAACGATCAACCTATCCGAGTGGCTCAAAGTCACGCCGACCACCATTCTGGAGGACATACTCGTTGCACAATATAAGGACCCACATGCTGCTGCAAGGGTAAGGATACAACTTGATGAACTCAAGTGTAGCAAGTGGCTAGACACCATGCATAAATTGCAATTGTATGTCAGCAAGCTCTTTGCAACGCCAGGATTGAAGCTGACTGCACAATCATGCTTGGATGTAGTTAAAGGTACGGTTCCCACTCACTTGACTAATCGCCTAGGCAGGGATTTCTTCTGTTATACTGACTGGTTCTCTTTAATGAAGGATGTAGTTAGTTTGGAGGCAGGAGACCTCCTTACCGCAGCAAGCAACAAAAGACCTTTTGTTCACGGACGATTTTGTGGCAGCAATCGCTTAGCTTTGCTTGACTTGATGGAAGGGGAAGGGGAGGCCGAAGCAGACGACCCCACTCTTGGCGACGGCCAAGAACAGGACGCTGATACAGCCTGCTCTTCAACTCAAGAGATTAACATGAATAATGATGATGATAAATCATGTGCCTTTAAAAAGACTGTCCATGGGAAGGGGAACCAAAACAGGAATTCAGTAAGAAGCTTCGTCGCACTTCCAAAGAAAGCCAAAATCCCATCCAAACCGGAGGATGCAACTACTAAACCTTGGGTAGACCTCCGGATCAGTGAGGCTGAATGAAAGGCTAGAATGAAGAAGGGAGGTTGCTTGCATTGCTTGAAAAGGAACCATAAGGTACAAAATTGCTATAGGCTGCAAGGAAACCAGAATCGGGCGTAGGGTTGGCATCAACACCCTCTACGGCAAGGGAAACTGAATCTGATGCAGTTCAACAGTCCTCTCTTGAAGCCCCGACATCTGCTGATTCCAAGGCTGAAGCCTGTCATGCTATGTATGTTAAGCCTTGGGAGGAGTCTGAGACGGTTGACTTCCACTATCACTTGAGGCATTGGGCTGAGATGAAACATTAACGTGCTCAAGGGACAGTGAAGTTGATCTTCTTCAAGCTTCGTATAAACCAACGCTATCTTCGTGTCTTGATTGATTGTGGTGCAACGACTAAGTTTATGTTACTACACGGGATACGCAAAGAGGGTTTGGGGATGAAGCAAGTGGCTCTGCAGAACCCTTGCCGAACTCAAGTAGGCAACTAGGAAGTTGTCTCATCTACGCATGTAGTCAAAGGTGTGCGCACTACGTTTGACAAGGACAAAACAGTCACCCATGCACTGAACTTCTATGTCCTTGACAAGTGTCCCTTCGGCGCAGTCCTTGGCTTGGGCTGGTTGCAGTCCCCATGCAAATGGACCAAGTGGAAGCAGTCACTTTTCATGGTCAAAGATGCTCAAGGGAACGAGCTTCCCGTCCTCTTGGATGAGAAGCGCGAGTGACTTTTCTCAATGCCATGCAATTCTGCAAAAAGTGGTGCAAGCACAAAGAGGACGAAAAAATGTATGTTGCCTATGTTTGCCCTACTCATGTGCCATCTACTTTTGCGGCTAGTATCAATCCTAATTCATCTAACGAGTCTACTTCTAATACTTCTACTTCTCTACCCACTACTAGTCCAAATGATTCTACTTCAGATTCGGTCGCTTCCATTCGCAATCTGCGACCAGATCTAGGGGATCCGTTTGCTGATCCTTCACCCCCACCGGTCCCAACAAGCATCCAAAACCTACTTGATCGATTCCCGGAAGTTCTGGCCGAACCACCTGGAGTCCCCACGCGATCGGTCTGACATACCATCAAGTTGCTCGAAGGTGTTGTTCCTCCAAAGGGCCACGTGTACCAAATGAGACCTGACGAGTTGGAGGAGCTCCGGAGACAAATCGACGAAATGATCGACAAGGGTTAGACCAAACCTGGTGAATCTGAATTTGGTGCACTGGTTTTGTTTGTCCCTAAGAAAGGAGGCAAGCTTCATATGTGTATCGATTATCGCGGTCTAAACCGCATCACCAGAAAGAACGCATATCAATTGTCACGCATAGATGACTTGCTTGATGCTGCTGGTGGGTGCAAGGTCTTCTCCAAGATCGATCTCAAGTTTGGATACCACCAGATTGAAGTCCATCCGGCGGACCAGCACAAAACTGCGTTCAAGACACGCGATGGGCTCTACGAATTTACTGTAATGCCCTTCGGCCTCACGAACGCACCAGCCACCTTTCAAAGCCTCATGGACAAGGTCCTCCACGAACAGATTGGTCGGTTTGTGGTGGTGTATCTTGATGATATTATGATATTCAGTAAATCTATCGAGGAACACATGAAACACCTTGAGGAAGTGTTCACCATCCTCAAGAAAACGCAACTCCACCTCAACTTAGAGAAATATGAGTTTGGGAGGGATAGTGTCATCTATCTTGGGCATCGATTGTCTGATGCAGGCCTTGAGCCTGAGTAAATCAAGGTTGAAGTCATACGTGACTGACCACAACCCGCGAACATTCACGAACGGCGTTCTTTCCTTGGTCTCTCGTCGTACTATCAGAAGTTTCTGCCCCGATTCTCTATTGTTGCTCGCCCGTTGTCCCGAATGACTAGTAAGAATTTACCTTACGCATGAGATGCAACATGTGACACCACATTTCAAGCCTTGAAAGAGGCCTTGGTAAGTTACCGTGTACTCCGCATTGAAGATTCCAAACAAACATTCCTAGTCACTACGGATGCTAGCGAATACGGGATTGGCGCAGTGCTGCAATAAGATGACGGCGATGGCTTGCGGCGGCTCGAGTACTACAGCAAACGCATGCCCAGCGAAAAGGTAGCTACTTCCACCTACATGCGCGAGCTCTATGCTTTACGTATGGCTTTGGATAACTAAAAGGTGTTATCGAATCATGAGACCTTGAAGTGGATCAAAAAGCAAACCACTTTGTACCCTACTCTACTGCGCTGGTTCCATGAGATTGACATTTTTTATTTTGAACTAAGACATAAAAAGGGCTATTATAACCGAGTTGCTGTTGCGTTGTCTTGCCACCCTGAGTACATGACTTGCCTTGTGGGTTCCTACGACCTCCGCAAAAAATTGAAGGAGGAGATCGTAGAACATACGGCCAAGGATCCGGACCTTAGTTCCACCCTTGAGCAGCTACAGGCTGACCCCAGCAGTCAGCCTGATTTTCACGAATATGGAGGACTGGTCTTCCGAAGCTATGGGAATCACGACCGTTTGTGTGTACCCAACCATGAGCCGCTCCGCACGCACTTCTTGGACTTGGCTCATGGCCGGAGCGGACACTTCGGCCTGACAAAGACATACGGAAACCTAGGACAGTTTGATTGGCCTTGTATGAAGGGATCGACTGAAAAGTTTGTGGTTGAATGCCAACTCTGTCAACGAATCAAACCATGTAGACAAAAGCCCATGGGCTACTCACACCCCTTCCCATTCGCGATGGACTCGGGGAGTCCATCTCCGTCGACTTCACTGACATGGGAAAGGTAAGCAAGAATGACTATTCACAAGTTATGGTGATTGTTGACCGCTTCCCTAAATTTCTGAATCTAATTCCTTTGCCATCTCATGCCCAACTGAATTAGTGATCCGTGAGTTAAAACAGAAGTACATTCTGCAGTTCGGAACCCCGAGAACTCTTGTGAGTGATCGGGACCCGCGCTTCATAAGAACCGAATGGAAGGACTTCACGTCCCAACTCCTTGGCCTCAAACTATGCATGATATTTGGGCGACATCCCGAAGCCAATGGTTTGGCTGAGGAAATCAACTAGACTGTGTTTCAACTTCTCCGCGCTTTAATCATTTCGGATCAGGAGAGGTGGGATGAAGAGCTGTATTCCGTCAAGGGGTTGTACAAAAACTTCATCCATTCTGCCACCGGCATGACACCAAACAGGCTGCATTACGGTTGGCAGATTCGCAATCGGCTCTCCTACCTGTTCTTTGAACAACGAGCTGGTTTGACACCCGGCAGGCCTGGCTTTAGGGCCAAGTACGATCGCTTGCTCAAAGTTGCCATCGCAGCAATGACCAAGGGACAACACGCAATGATCCACCATGCAAACAAGAAGCGCCGACCTTCGGATATTGAAGTAGGAAGTTATGTTTGGGTCAAGATGTCTGAATTCTCAGAAGAAGAGGGAGTATCATGCAAACTTCTTCCACTCTACTATGGTCCGTGGGAAGTTCTGGATGTGATTGGCAGTGATGAGTTTGGCCCCTCATGCACAGTTGTTGTGCCACCTCATTTGTGCACATACCCTGTCTTTCATGCATCAAAACTGTATATCCACCGTGATGCTAAGTCCTTCGAGCACCGTGAAGGCATGATTCCTCGTGCAATCAATGGCGGTCATGAGATTGACAAAATCAAACAGCACGTAGGGAAGGGACGTAACCGACAGTACCAGGTTCACTTTATGTATCACCCATTCGACGATCTCTACTGGATCTCCAAGAAGGGACTGCTGCGCAGCGCTCCTCGCGTTGTCAAAGCCTACGAGTGACAAATCGCCTCTAATGCTGTTCCCAAAATCTCTGCAAAAAGCTAACTGCAACAGAGTACTCTCAAAATCTCTTTGGCTTATTTGCTTACAATGCGTTTGTCGGGGACTCAGACTGAGTTACTCGCTCGAAGGGACCTCGCTCCTAAGGGGGGGGTAGTGTGATGACCCGACCAAACACGGACTGAGACGCACAACTGATTTTTGAGTTTTGCTCATGGACTGAAAGCGTTGCTGAGTTTCCCGCTTGCCACTAAGTTCTGCATGTCTGTGTGTGTGTGCATGCTTGCTGGTCTGCATGTCTGTCTGAGTGCTGGTTGGCT